AATTTTTTTTTTTTTTTTTTTTTTTTTTTGGGTGCCTGCCACTGTTTGATATCAGAAGTCTATATCCATTATGAAAAAATAAAATGTCAAACAAAGTCGTAGATTGAAAAAGCAATAAGCCCAAAAACAAAACTCCCGGAGGAAAAGTTAAAAATAGGTGGTTAGTCCACAATTCTAAAACTGTTAGAATCTGTATCATAATGACAGATTTTAACAAATTTACACGCCAAAAAATTGTCCTACCACATAAAACACTACTGCACACTTTATATACAATTCATTATTAAATCCATCATGAGAATAAGGGTCAAAAATTGTGGCTGGACCCATTATGCAATTGAAATTGACCCATTTTGGATTTATAATGAAAGGCCACTGATTTTGACAGTAATCAATATGCTAAAATAATGTGCTTAACACTTTGAGAGGATGCCTATTTTGTCATATATTATTCAATGCTGTAGCCAAGTTGAAAATGATCCAAAGACAGACATATTAAGGCTTTCAATTGAGAAAGATAACATCACACAAAAAAAAAAAAAAAAAAAAAAAAAAAGGCATAAAAAATTATCGTAATAATGAGGGAAAATATTGAATGAAAAAGATGACTGTATTTTAAATTGACAAATAATATAGTGTTATGTGACATTATCTAAAGTATTATTTAAGCCTTGATATACATGTAGTATTGTCCATTAGAAAAATACCCTTCAAAATAACAATTGTGCTATATATAAGTAACGGTCTACATACACATAATATAGTGAGATATAATTTAGTTAGAATTTATATATCCTCTATATATAAATCATTATATAACTCTATTATGTACAATTAACATTATTCTAAAAATAATTAAAATCCTTGCACCATAATCAATATACGCTCAAAAACTCGAAAGCGGTAAAGAAGCTGAAAAGGTATTCCATCGTGCATGAAACCTTGAAATTCCGACTCGACGAGTTAAGAGGATCATGAAACTAGACAAGGACATCAGCAAGGTTAACTCAGAAGACCTATTTCTCATCACGCATGCCATGGAGCTTTTCCAAATATTAATGCGTAACCTTTAAAATATATGTAGATTTAAATAATATGATTAATAAGATCGTTTTTTATTTTACATTTTTCACCATAAATGAAATAATATTTACTGAAATAATTATGCAATGTGTACAATTAATAAATCAAAAGCATACATCTGGTTTGTTTCTAATCATATGTGAATCCTCCAATGAAAGTCACATGAAGGCACCACGTGTGTGGCAGTGTTCTTGGCCGAGGCACTTTTCCATCAAAGTTCGGTTGTCGAAGTGCTGCCCTCAAAGCCGAACTCCTTCATGTCCGAGGCTCCCTCTTGTGGCCTGTGATCGAAGTGATTGTATTCTTAAGAGCAGATCTGATGAGTGTATCTTTAAGAATGATTGATGTGACGTTTTAAACTAATAAATGTTAGATATGTCAGCCTAAGAATATAGGGTGGTTAACCCCTTCTCGAATGTACTTGTCAATGTAATTGATGTGTGATAAGGTGATGTGAGACTCTAGTCAATTAGATGGAGCCACATGCTGATCAAACGATGACCACTTCATCCTAACCACTATAAATCACAACTTTTGTAATCTTGTAAAGGATGAAAAATATACATTCAATCATATATAATTATCTTCACTCTCTGAATGTTCGCTTAAGTCATTTTTTATTTTGATTGCTCTCGGTCGTCAATATTTCATTCTTATTCCCACATTCATAATGAGTCTTTGAATCTCCAATTGGGTACCCTTATAAGACCCACCGAAATTTGTTTATGCGGACTTCAACGGAACCAAATGCCTGTTGGCACATTTTTTGGTGTCAACATGGTTAAGTTGTAAAAAAATTAATTTAATGTTCATAATAATTTTTGTTGACTACCAATCATTAATTATTTTGATAAAAACTCTTTTTGAAAAAGCTCGATAAAAGTTTTATGCACAATAATCATGTCAAACGAATCCTTAATCATTTAGATATATAAGTTTTCCTCATGAATTTTACTTAAACTATTTGTTGTTTTAGTGAGTGGACTATGAGTCAAAATGTCCCCCAACCCACCAAAAAAAAAATAAAAAAAAAATACTAGTGCTTGAGGTTATCAAGCGACAAGCAATATAATTCCTTGACTATAATTCCTAGACTAGCGAATTTCAAAATTAGTGGCTTTCTGACATTTTCTAAAAGTAAATTAAACGTTTCAACACTTCACATGTTATTTCAATTATTTACAAAGAAACCTATTTAAAGGTATTTAAGATATGATAAATTGGAAAATATTGAGCATTTTTATAATTTTTTACAGTTTGATGAGATTTCAAAAAGAAAGTAGATAATTTTTTATTTTTTTGATTAATGATATTTTGATCCAATCTTATTTCGTCACATCATTCATTAATAAACAAATTAGCAAGTTGTGATGTACGTATAACAACTTAAAGAAATTGAAAAAAGCCTAATGTACAGAAACTGCGTTCATAGGGTCTGTACAAGCCCCCTCACATGCTGTGGGAGAGGATGAGGGATTATTAAATTATCCACTCCCCTTGTATTCAATCTGATCTGTACAGGATCTGTACAGCCAACAAAGTCGAATGAAATTAGAATGAGTAACATTATGCGTATAGGGACAGTTTCACAGAATTTATACCGGAAAACACGTAAAACACATGCAAATCAGGTGTGCCGTGGAAAAAAAAAATGAAAGAACAAAAGAGACCACCCTACTATCGTGTCATTCTCTCATTGGACAAATGTGTTAGCTGGAAATAATTGAAATAAAAATATCCCACCAACCGCAGCCAACCCCAACCAGAACAACGTATCATCGTTGGTGATTTTTGACCTGCCGAGATCCGTAACACTCTTCGCTCCATTTATATCTTTCCTCTTCCTCATATTGCTTATCTTTCGTCTTCTGGGCACCTGTGGGATTATTAAAAACATTCAATTGACCTCTGATCTGATCATATTAAACACTCAAAAGGTTTGGGATATTTTAATTTCCGATTTATTTTCTCTTGGATGAAATGACCGTTTGCATAGTGTTTTCTACTTTTTTGCAATTTAGATTTTGGTTGGATTTTCCTTTCCTGTAAAACTGTCTTTCTTTATTTTGGGTACTGTTCATTAAGATCGTATCTTGCTGAATTTGTTTGTAATGTTGTGGTATCAATTACAGAAAGAAGATCTAATCTAGTTAACGTTAAATTTTACTTCTTTCTTATCATAATTTATAAGAGCCAGGTAGGCCAAAATTAACATAACCTAACTTGGTTACAAATGATTTGATTGCAGTGGATCTTCCGGTAGGACTTGTTTACCGAACCCTAATTTATTTGGATTAAGATTTAGTTTCTTTTTGTATATAAGTTGATGTGTAGTATTATAACATTGATTTGCACATCTGTGTACTAACAAATAGTATAATTATGTTTTAATTTTTAAGAAAATCACCACTGTATTATGACAAATGGAAAATAACAGATTGTACGGCGACGATCCATTAACTGTTAGTACATATTTTTGTTTATTCTCATCTTTTGAATAAGAAAAATAAAGAAAAGGGAAAAGAGATTGTTGATAGTTGACATTTAATCTGGGTTTCACCTCGGTTAAATTTTAGAGAAAGTGAAGATATTTTTATGTCTTGTTTATCATATAGATATATGTCAATGGTATCAACAACCATTTTTGAGAAATTTTTTGCTCATGCGTCCTAATGAAGACTCAAGTTGCACGTTCAGTTTTACTTTCTCCCAAAGGTTTTTATGATTCATATTGAATAATCTTCTTGGGTAATTCTTTTATTAATTTGAAAAATGTTTTCCTCATGTACATGTGTATTTCTGTTATTCATTGCATCAGCTTTTAAATTTTCTTGAAAATACAAGTTCCAGTTTTGGCAGGAGAAAGAATGGCTTATCAATCCCCGAAATTAACGAGAATAGGCCTTGCTGGTCTTGCTGTTATGGGACAAAACCTAGCCCTCAACATCGCTGAGAAAGGCTTTCCCATTTCTGTTTACAACCGAACCACGTCTAAAGTTGACGAGACTGTTGAAAGAGCAAAAAAGGAAGGAAATCTTCCTGTTTATGGCTTCCACGATCCCGAATCATTTGTTAATTCAATCCAAAAACCTCGCGTAATCATAATGCTTGTTAAGGCTGGGGCGCCTGTTGATCAAACCATCAAAACACTTTCTGCTTACATGGAGAAAGGTGACTGTATAATTGATGGTGGAAATGAGTGGTATGAGAACACTGAGAGAAGGGAGAAAGCTATGGCTGAATTAGGTCTTCAGTACCTTGGGATGGGAGTTTCTGGTGGTGAAGAGGGTGCTCGAAATGGACCGTCTTTGATGCCGGGAGGGTCTTTTGAGGCCTACAAATACATAGAAGACATCCTCCTTAAAGTAGCAGCCCAAGTCCCTGACAGTGGTCCTTGTGTGACTTACATTGGAAGTGGAGGTTCCGGTAATTTTGTGAAGATGGTCCATAATGGAATTGAGTATGGTGATATGCAGCTGATTTCTGAGGCTTATGACGTCCTGAAATCAGTTGGAAAACTGTCAAATGAGGAACTACAAAATGTTTTTACACAATGGAACAAAGGGGAGCTTTTAAGTTTCTTGATTGAAATCACTGCAGATATTTTTGGCATTAAGGATGACAAGGGAGACGGCTATTTGGTAGACAAGGTCTTGGATAAAACTGGAATGAAGGGTACTGGTAAATGGACCGTTCAACAGGCAGCTGAACTATCAATTGCTGCTCCCACCATTGAATCTTCTCTGGATTCAAGATTCCTTAGTGGGTTGAAGGAGGAACGAACAGAAGCGGCAAAAGTCTTCAAATCAGGTGGTTTTGGTGATATTCTGACCGATCAGGTGGTTGATAAGGAAAAATTAATTGATGATGTTCGGAAAGCTCTATATGCATCTAAAATATGCAGTTATGCACAAGGAATGAATCTGATCCGTGCAAAGAGCATTGAAAAGGGATGGGATTTGAAATTGGGGGAACTGGCTAGGATCTGGAAGGGAGGTTGTATTATTCGAGCAATCTTCTTAGACCGGATCAAGAAGGCCTATGACAGAAATCCCGATCTTGCTAACCTTCTTGTGGACCCTGAGTTTGCAAAGGAAATAATTGACAGGCAGTCTGCATGGAGAAGAGTCGTATGCCTTGCTATTAACTCGGGCACTAGCACCCCTGGTATGTCTGCTAGTCTTGCTTATTTTGACACTTACCGCAGGGAGCGATTGCCAGCTAATTTGGTCCAAGCTCAAAGAGACTACTTTGGCGCTCATACATACGAAAGGGTCGATATACCTGGATCCTTCCACACTGAGTGGTTCAAACTTGCTAAAAAGATAAATAACTAAGAGCTCCGTTGTTATTCAATCCAACTGGTGTATGCATCAATCTTAATAAAATCGATCTGGCATTCGATGCTCACCAGAGCTCACCCTAGATTTTTGTCCTTTTCTTATTTCTTTGGGGTCTTATTTATGCTAGCAATGGTTACCCCGCTGCAGTTTCCTTGTGTTGTAAGATTTATTCTCCCTTTCAAAGTCAATTAAACTGGAAAATATTATGGAAAATAGTATTCTCTGTTTTGGTATTATATTTGTCATGGTGACTTTCATAGTTTCATATTTATTCCTTCTGTTCTGTGCATCTTTCATGCCTGCAGGGTTGACGTATCTCAAGTTTTTATTGAAAATGAAGGTGCTTCTTCCTTCCTCAATAACGTGCATTTTTGTAGCTTTCTATTTGAAAAAATATGTTTTAGCTCCGGTTTGGTTTAGCCAAAAATCAGAGTTTTAGTAATTTTTGACAAAAGTCGATGAAATGTGTTGTTAAAAATTTGATAAAATTGTGGGGTCCAATGAAATGTGTGATTGAGAATGAATTTGAGGAAAAATGAATTTTAGAAAATGGGGATCAAACATGGACTAACTTTGTTGGAGATTTCATTTCCTTGGGATGAACATTTCAACCTTCGAATTTTCATAGGTAGTTGTCTGATACGAGAATGATGGACTTCGTATTTAGCATGACTAAAACAAATCAAAGTCAGTGTCTGTAACGCCTCGAACTCTTTTTCATTATTATTGTTATTTTTAAATAAAAATGAGCTCAAGGTGCTACCAAAACTTTTTTCTATCTAATTTAAGCGGAAATATATCGAAAATATTTGATTTCAAATTATTAAACAACATAATAAATATCGTGCATAAATATTAACACAAAGATATTCTTTATATAAATTGACGATTGTCTTTTCTAGAAATTTTACTTGATGACCACATTAGCATCACTCCGTCAATCTTCCACGCGTCCTCCCGACCCGTTCTTATCTGAAAATATTGTAAGAGTGAGTATTTTGAAAACATTCAGTAAGAATACGTGCACATCCTTTTTCACATGATATAAATATAAAAATAGCATAACATACCAACATTTTTTAGGAATTTCTTAAGAATCCCTATATTCCGTAGGATTTAATTTCTTTTCTTTGACCTGACGGTATATCCCGAAGGATTTAACTTCTTCTCTTTGACCTAACGGTCTATCCCGAAGGATTTAACATAGCATTCGACCCGAAGGACTTAAAGAAATTTACATATATATCAAGGAATAAGAATTTACCACTTGCACCATGTATTCTTACCCCAATTTGATATCCAAGAATTTACTTGAAACTGACTTTGTGAAAAGATATAAATATTATACTCTATTAAATTCTAAAAATATTAGTGGTGTGGAGTGTACAATATACTATTGTTGTAGAATATAATTTCCATCTCAAATACACCTATTTATATATTCCACACACGTAATTTACGTAACATCAAAAGGCATTTCACGTTAATGGAAGAATAATGGAGTTAAACCACCATAAGTGGACGTTTATGATTACGGTTACAAATTGAAAAGTCACCTGATCATTAATTGAGGATTAATGTAATTAAACAATTAGGATTTAATTGAAAATCAATTAAAGTGAACGTGATGGTTACGGTTATAAATTTGAAAGGACACCTCCACGTTTAATTAGAGTTAATGTCATGGTTATGGAATGTATTATAAATTTCTAAATCAATTAAAGTGGATGACATTACGTAACCATACAATGAAACTATTCATTTGTTTATTATTTTATATTATATATGTATTAATATAATATTTGAGAATGATAATTTTCTTTCTATTAGAATAACTCGGGCATAACTAGCTCGAAATTACTTTTTCTTAAGCTCAAATTATATTGTTTAACACAAGCTACAAAACGAGTATAATATCAGTATATTTTCATCAACTTTAAAAATACTTAAATATTCTATTCAAATAATTTTCTAAAAGTGCTCGTAACTCGTAAGCAAATAAATTATTTATACGAATACGCGAGTCGAGTCTACCATTTCAACTTTGGACTTTTAATATAATGACAAATCTTCACATTTTCATTTGCTAAATAATAAGTTCAGGTTCACATAGTAAAAAAATGCGGGGTGTTATAGTGTCTATCATAAATTGCCGTAATGTCATTTACGTAATTTTGTAAGCATAATGTTTTGCTATAGCATGTTTATGCACTTTATATCTCAAGACGTGAAAGCGATACTTGTAAAACTACTATTAATTACTAAAATAAGTAATGTGCATTAAAAGTTTAGAAATCAATATTTGGTGTGACTTGTGAGAAATGCATGATTGGAATATTTTGCTAAAATTGGATGTAACCAAATACGAGTAAAAGGTTCATTTTTAACTCTTAAAAGTCAGTACTACATAGAAATAAACATTAGACATTACACAAAGACAATATGTTGGGCATTTGGTCTAGTGGTATGATTCTCGCTTTGGGTGCGAGAGGTCCCGAGTTCGATTCTCGGAATGCCCCTTTCGCTACTCTTTTTTTTTTTGTTTTGTTTTTTGATCTCTCTCTTTTAATTTTGTGTCAAATCCATCAGACCTCGAAATGATTGGATAAAATTGATATAGTTGTATTACAGTTTATTTTTCTATTCTTGTAAAATCACAAAAGGTCAGTGAAAAATAAAACAAAAGGAACAGAGCAAAAATGCTGTCTTTGGAAGGAAGCAAAAATGAAATTTTTTGGGGCATTCCGAGAATTGAACTCGGGACCTCTCGCACCCTAAGCGAGAATCATACCACTAGACCAAATGCCCTTGCACAGCTTTAAGATTTCTATTTGATATATACAAATTAAACCCCTTCCCTCTCCATTCGAAGCTAAAATGGCGTGACTGTGAATTCTTTCATAGTTCCATTCTGTGTAATTCCTGATCGTCCATTAATAAAGTATTTTATTTATTTATTGTTTTTAGTCATGTCGCTCGATCTCGTTCATAGTATTGTCCAATACTATCTCGTTCTCAATTTGTTTGCATCTTATCTTTGTGATGGTACTTGGTAATTGATGGTGAAACGAACCACTGAAGAAAGCTAACTTCAGAAATCTTTTGTAAATCTGACAAAATATTTTACAATTATATCACAAATCCTTTCTGCATTTAATGTGTGCACCAGGCCAGTTCTTGAGCAAAGACTTCAAATTTTGAGGCCTCTACTTTTGAAACCTAAATGTGTTGCATGCTTACGAGTTTTTCTACACATATAGTTCACTCTAAAAGAAGATATTTTACGGTACTACACATTTTATAAGACCCACAACTTTTTAAGCACACATTCTATCAACTTTTATCAAAATCTGATTTTAATTTCTACCAAACAAAGGCTAATACCGCGATCCCTCGAAGGAAGATGGCGTAGCCAGATATTTAGGCACGTCGTCTCCTGCCATGACAACTACCGTTACTAGCTCGATTTTTGTGGCAGCTCCAATGGACTCCTCGGCTTCATTTGGAACACCAGAAGGCTCCTTTTGTCGAGTGCATGCAAGAATGACTAACGCTAAGGCAATGAGAGCAAATATTACTGCTATTCCACCAAACAGGTATGGGATTGGAGATTTCCATGTTGATGTGTTGGCAAACCTCATTTTTCTTGTATGTTTGATGTGCTGGGGATTGAATTGTTCTTTTTCCATGAATTTATAAAGGGTCATAGAAATTTCAAAAGTACAAAAAGTCTACTCTGAAAACCCATTGTGGGAGGGAAGATTCCTTATTCTCTGAAGATTCTAGGAAATTAAACTGCCCCTTGGTCAAAATTATGCATATTAAAATCAATGGTTCGAATTACTCAATATTGGACCTAACAGCATTTTTTAACTTGTATGTAATGATTCGAACTCCTGTACTCAAGCCGTATATTCATATGTACTATTCGCTTTGAAAGAGAATCTGCTTATCTTACTCCCATGAATTTCTTTTTCACATTTTTTTAATGATATCTACCCATTGAGAAATTTAAGTAATTTCATAAGACTGAAGTATTAAATTCGAATTATGAAAATGCGAGAGATTCGTAAGAGGTAAAAGAGCATATATTCCCCCAAATCGAATAGCACATAAGGGAACGATTTGAGCACGACACTTGAATCATTATATTATATATCTTACCCTCTGTTTGATTCTCATTTTGAGGATAAAATACATTATGGATTACTAGTTTTTTGGAAAATGTGTGGTTAAAAAGTAAAGAATTTTTTTTGAAATTAATTATTTTATAGAAGAATGTATGGTTGAAATTGAGTTTTAAAAAAATACATTCTTAAAAAAAGGGCTCAAACAAGAGCTTAATATTGTCCAGTTTATGTTACCAACCTTTGGTTCATTGACGAAAATTTAAAAAGGAAATAGTGAGAAAGATTTGCTCTATATTATACCATGAGGTGATCTTAGTAGGCCCAAAGACACAGGCGTTGCTCTATCACTAGTGAACTAAGGGACTATTTGATAGGTTATATTTTCATTTTTCATGGAAAATGGAAAATGAAAAAAAAAAAATTCATTTTTCATTCAAATGGTATGTTTGATGTGCAAAATTTTCCATGGAATTGATTTTCCACCCAACCCCCCACGTGACCACATTTTCCAGGTTTTTAAGGAATTGATTTTCCTTTGATTTTGGTGGGAATTGGATTTTCCAGTCTTTTTTTATTTTTTATTTTCGACAATGGAAATATATTTTATCCACAATTATAACAAATTATATCCTTTTAATTGACAATTGTCATGGCAAACAAAGCAAAATGAACACCAAAAGATCCAAAATTTCAACATTTTTCAGGTAAAAAATTATACTAATCAAATACATTTAATTGATAATTCTCAGTAAAATAAGTTCTAAACAATTCAATTCTCTGAAATTCGTTTTCTTTCCACTCAAAACGGACCCTAAATGAAAGTGCACAGCAAGTAAATAAAGAAGAAAAGTGCATAAAGTAAAATACCTTAGGCGCTTATTATGTGTATGTATGAGCCACATTATTTTTTAAGAATGTCTTTTGAAATAGTAAATTGATGGAGATATGTGGTAAAAAAAAGTTTTGGATTTACGTGTAATATTATTTTATTGAAAAATGTATGGTTAAAATAATGTCAAATTACTATTTAAGAATGTATTTTTTTTTTTTCAAATAATGTAGCTCAAACGGGGCCTGTGTCTTGGGGCTGTCTATTAGAATGTCAA